CAGCTTCATCACATGAAGAAAAATGCAGAAGGACATGCTGTAACAAAGGAGACTCACGATTTCCGGTGACAATGATTCCCTCTCTGAGGGTCTTGGTTTTTGCAGCTGTGAAGATGTAGTTACAGAAATTTTTGGTTTGAACCTGGAACCTGCTCTCCAGTTGGTTTTCTGACACCCCCTCCATATGTTGTAACAAGCTTATGTTATTTGTAGGGCGTTCAAAAGTAAAGCACTTTCTCTTGGGAAAGAACTTCCTGATATACTCCCTAGGCATTTTGGAATGCTGGATTTTGGAATTCTCGCCTGTAGGGGAAAAAAATAAAAAAGAGCCGTGATTGGTGATACAGTTTTTCAGGAAAGGACATACATTTCTAGGGGTCTTTGCATCATTGTTTCTCTGGTGCTTTTAAATATCCTTATATTAAATCATGAAAATGAACACAATGCTAATCTCCTCCAAACAGATTTATTTTAATTTATTTTTTTGTGTGTGCAAAGCCAGGAATAAAAGAAATGCTTCTAAGGAAGAAGAAGAGGCATGGAGGCATTCATCCCATCTGAAGAAACTTATGATTGTTTCCTTTAGACTTTCCATGGTGCCAAACATTTTGACTATTAATGAGATATTTTTGCATGATAGATTAATTCACCAAATTGTCAGAAATACTTTTGATATTATAGTCCTCATGTCATAAATATAATGGAGGTTCTAAAGTTAGAGTCAAATATGTCCTCTGGATATATGGCAATTTATGATATTGCCAGGACAGATAATACTAAGAACAGTAAGGAACAACTTCTAAAAATCAAAGTAACAAATAATGACTATATAAATATATAAGCATAATGTAATGCCACCTAAAGACCTCACCTGTTCTAGATATCAGATTATATTGGACGTGACAATGTCACACTGAGTAATTCTGTGCATATATCAGTTGTTCAATAAATGATTCTTGAATAAATGAATAAAATATTAAATAAGCAAAAATCTACATGCATCTAGGTACCAACCATTTTTCCCTCTGCTAAATCTATTCTGTGTAATAAATTTATTCTATTAACATGATAACAGGCTATATAATAAAGAGAGTGATGCTACAAGAAAGAGATTATGAATGATTTGACAGTCTTACTAGAAGAATATATTAATTTGGGGGGGAATTAAAATAGACAACATAAAATACATTTTAAGAATGAGTCATTTGATATCTTTGTGATTCTGTCTTCCATAGTGATGGGCATTTTTCTCCAAATAGAAGCAGAGGAGCTCTGAACTTAATCAGAACACAAGTATTTGAGTTCTAGGACATCTTAGCACTGGTTGCTATTATCAAATTTTTCATGGTGTCAATTTTCCTAAAATCTTTGTTACAATGTCGGATATTTCATTTCCTCAGCCAGCTTAAATTCTAGTCATTTGTGTTTTTTCAGTATTGATAACAATTGAAACCATACCCAAATTGTCATATTCATATCACCATTAGCATAGGCCTCAATGCATTAAAAAAATAAAAATTGACCTTAAGAATTGTATCATAGCGTTCACTGATCACATCCTACATTGGGTTTCACTACTGGCAGAGTTGATCACCTTGGAGGCATTTACATCTTGCCATGTGTATTTACACCCCAGCGAGACATATCTGGAGGTCAGAGATTGTCACATAGAACTTTATATTATAGTCCACTGGTCAGAAATATAATATGAGTTCTAAACTAAGAGTCAAATGTTATACCTCCACCACCCAGACCATCCTCTTATACCTGAAACAAACTTCAAGGCATTCTCTAGGTACTCGTCTTCAGTGATGGTATGTCCATCTAACTTCAGCTCCAGCATAAAATCCCGTACAACCCAAACGAAGTCTGGAAAGAAACTCACAAACTCGGCTGAGTCATCTGCTTCACCAGAGGTGGGAGAGGATTTTGCTCTGATTAGCTTTGTTAGTTCAGTCACATAGCTGAGATCTTAGCTAAGGAATGAGAAATGTTTCCCTGCCAAAATTTCCAGATCTCACCCAGGAATAATTTTTTTGAACAGTCCCATTCACTCGGTGTCCCTTTCTCCTCAACCATGGATATTGACATGAGGAAAAAACAATAAAAACAATAACAAAATTGTCTCAGTTACATTCCCATGGACTCCATGTCACATGGTGGTTGGGTTCCTGGAAGGATACTGCAGCTGCTCCAGGGCCTGGTGGTTGATGGTGTTCATGCTGTTGTAGACAAACATGCTGCTCAGAAGCACAGCCAGGGCAAAGATCCATGAGTCATTTTTTGAGTCGCCCTTGAAAGTGCACAGAAGGGGACTGAGGGGTCTACAGTTCATTCTACTGTTCAGTTGTTCATACACTTTGTCAGCTCTACTAACACTGAACAGTGGGGCAAATAACATACACTGTGAAGACGGTGGTAAATTCAAATCTCATTTTGGATATTCACATTGTCGCCTTTCATGGCTCGTGTAATTTAGCAATTAAGAGAAGTGAATGACAATGTAAATGTGTGTCAAACATTTAAAAGAGTCCCAAGAACATAGAAGTATGCAATGATAAGTGGGTAATGATTTTTTGCAACTTTCTCTTGACCATGAGCTTATTAGTGACACAAATGCTAGTCAATTAAATTCACCAACTTCTCATTATGCATCTAAAAAATGCCAGATACCAATTTAGTTTTGGGGATATAAAGTTTCACAGGGCAATCTCTGACTTTCAGAGATGACTTGTGGAAGGCGCAAATATACATGGTAACATGTAAATGCATCCAAGGTGATCAGCTCTGCCAGGAGTGCCAGCCAATGTTATAGCGTAAAGGACAAATGGGAATAGGAAACCCAGAAAACTTACTCTATGATTTCAGGGCAAGAAGGGATTATGTCTGAATGAGATACAACCCCATTAGTTGAAATTAGTAGGACTTTGCTTTAAAGAATGGACAGAATGTGAAATTCTGCAGCAAAAAGGACCAGGCTCCTGGAAGGATCCACAGAAGCCAATCAGAATTGTCAGAGTGTGTTAATACAAAGGTACTACATGTTATGTTATTTGATTGAAGTAGTGGTTATGAGTGTGGTAGGAATAGATGATGAGGCTGAACATAACACACTCAGCATAACTCATGAGTAACTATTCAATACAATTGGGTACTACCAAAGACACTAGAGTTGTAAGGACAGCAAGTATTTCTGTTGCTATCAGTTGACAATTATGTTTTGACTCCTTTACAAATGTAATCAGCTAAAAAGAAGAAGGTTTATGTAAACTACAATCTGTTAGCAATCAGTAGACCACCTTGGGGTTATACTGAGGTGATTACTTAGTACTTTAAATCTGAATTATACTAAGTGAAATAAGCCAGTCAGAGAAATACAAGAAGCATATATTTTCACTCATATGTGAAGTCTAATGAACAAAATGATCTAACAATCAAAATAGAGACAGACTCGTAGATTGATAGCAGGCTGATAGCTGTGGGGGGCAGGAAAGGGGCTGGGAGGAAGATAGAAATATTGAGCAAAAAAGAAAAAAAAATGAAGATTTCATGTACAGGGCAACAGTATGGTGACTGCTAGGGAGGGGTGGGAGAAGTTTGCGGAGGGAATAGGAGGGATAAATGGTGATGGATAGAGACTTGACTTTGAGTGGTAAACACACAATATAGTGTACAGATAATGTGCTGTAGAATTGTACACCTAAAACCTGTATAAATTTGTTAACCAGTGTTAACCCAATAAATTCAATTAAAAATTAATATTATAATTCAGAATATCTAAATTTCTCCCCCTACTCCTGTTGGGGTAATGGAAGCCAAATATCCATTGCTCCTACTTTCACTTCAGATTCTGGCTAATAGAAATAAGGATACAAAATTGACTGCAACTAACACAGGAAAGACAGAATACCTAAAATTATCGTATTTATAATGCTTTTGGTGGGTCTAGCTCATGAATGTATAGAAGTCAGGAAGGAATTCATCTATAAAACCCAGAGACTTTGACTAAAATCTTAATTAACATGTATGGTGTAGCTGAAGTGTTTTTGGAGATTATTTTATCTTGAACACTGCTTAAATATGCCACTCCCGGTATCCCTGGTACCCTGTACTGAAAATATTGCTTGTTTCATATCTCCAACTAGGCTCTGGGCCTTTTCCTCTATCATGCAAATCTGTAGTACTTAACACAAAGCCTAAGAATTTAGATGCTCACTAAGTATTTGTTATCTTGTAACTATCAACCAAGAGTAGAAATAAGAAGATATATATCTAAAAAGAAAAGTACTGAGTTTCCAAGAAAGTAAATTCAAGGAAACAAAATTTAACCTCATTATTCTTAATTGTATTTGTAGTTCATAGATATAGATCATAGAAGTTGAATTAAGTTGTCAAATTAAAATGAAAGTGGATTATCAAGAACAAAGTAGACTCTTTGCCTTACCTTTTCCACATCGCCCAGGCCCTCAGTGTCCAGAAGGACCAGAGTGTGGTTGGGCTTGGAGGGGTGGGGTACACACCACATCCAGATGCCCTTGGTTTCAGACCGCACTGTGGAGCCCAGAGGAAAACCTGCAAAGGAAGAGGAGAATGTGCCATACAGTAACAACAGATAATCCAGGCTTCCCAGACCTTATATTGGTCAAAACTATCAGAATGTGAATGCCAGGCTGGGAGAAAGATTGCTTTTATTTCAGTAAGAGCATCCTATCCACCCTTTATTCATGTTAATGACCTTCTCAAGAAACACTTTGTGTTTCCTATTCACTCCATACTATCAATGGCTCAAGCTATGTCACATTACAGAATTAATGTAACCTCTATTGACCTTTATAGTCTTTGTTTTGACACTGAAGTGCTCCCTTCTCATTCACATTCTAGTAGAGTTCTACCAGTGGGAGGCGCCAGCATGAGACTAGTGAGCCACCCTGTCCCAGTGCCTCTGTTACTATATATTAGTAGTGGGTCACACACAGCCCTTTTATTTCACTCCATCCAAAAGTGCTGGTCTTTGCCACATTCTGGTTTCCCTTTTTGCTTGGCTGTTCAGGCTATAGGAGTGACTCTAGTCCCCTGGCCTTTGCTATTGCCACTTTCTGGGTGCTTTCTCACCTCCTATAGTTCTCTGTGACATGCTTATGCCATTGTATGAGTATCTCTAATAAACACTTGTTAGTTAGCCTTTGAGAGGTTCTTGTGTGTCCTGCCAGGAACTGGACTGATAATCAGCTTTATTGGATTTTTTTCTTAACTTTTCTTCCTGTATTTTTCTCATTTCTTCTCTCTTCTGCAATGAAATAAACAGGTGTTTGCTTGTTTTTTCCCCCTTGCCTCAGGTGGGGATATAATGGAAGCAAAGGCAGAAAACACTTGTTAAATGTGGTTGCTTCTCTTTCAAAAGTTTTAACAATACACGTGGGGAGCATGTGAGTGATATGCCTAAGAACCTGTGTGATGTATCTTGTCTAACATTTTAACATTTTTAACACCCACCTAGGCCAATATTTCCTTCAGTGGGGAATAGAAATAGAAATGATGGAATGTGTAGAAGAGGTTTGTTCAGCTTGGCTCAAGCCACTCAATTTTGAGGCTTGGGACTTTCTCAGCAATCCACTGTGGTCTCTACAGAGAGGGTATAAAGCCTGAGATGGTCTGCATTCTACTACATCCTGATAGCATTTGCTTGTTTGCTAATTAATACAGAGTAATCTGAACTCCCAGTGCCTCTAGGGAGAAATGGTAGGTGTAATTGGAGATCATCATTCTCACTTATGAGTTAAAAACCCTCAAAGAAAGTTATCAACAAGGGGAAGTGTAGTGACCTGGTATTCCTCCTGGACCTTGATTGGGCACAAATCTTTTTTTTTTTCTGTTGGGTGGTAGAATCACAATTCAGGTATTCTGGTTTATTAGATTACAGTTTACTTTCAACATTATTTTATATTAGTTTTAGTTGTACAGCATTGTGGTTAGGCAATCACATACTTTGCAATGTGCTCCTACTGAATTTCAAAGACACAGCTGGCACAGTACATAGTTCTTACAATATTATTGACTATACCTAGGTGTGTTAAAATATCTTGAGGCGTGGGACTTTCTCATCAATGAAACATAACCTTGTTATTACCTGATGTTATCTTGAGTAGAATTTAACAATACCTCTCCCTTGGGGTTCTCAAAAAATAACTTAATTAATTTAAGACAGGCAAGGAAAAGTGTTCTCCCCTGATAGATGGTCTAGAATTTCTCTACAGGAAAAACAAAGAAAAAATGTTTTGTTGGAAGCAATTGGGAAAGATTGTGAAGCAAAAAGGAGAAAGGGAGGAAAGGGAGGAAAGGGAGAGAAGGAGAGAAACAGAAAGAGACACAGTGAGAGGACAATGAGAGATATTGCTATTAATAGTTGCAGTTCAGTGTATTGAGGTTAACCCCTAATGATGCTGAGCTGATGAGACACAAAGGAAGACATTTGAAAAAAAAATGGTGTGTGGTCTTCATAGAGAGAAATGAGTTACAGGACATAGGCAGATTGTTCTAAAGATCAGTAAGAACAAAAAAAGGCAACCCAATAGAAAAGAAAATTGACCTCAGGAAATAGGAAATACAAATGGAAAATTAATATGTGAAAAGATGCTCAAACTTATTTGTAATGAGGCAAATATATGCACCTATACAGTCATCACATCATCAAATTTTTAAAGTCTTTTACCAAAGTTTTATGAGGATTTGAATAATTCTCAATTACTGTTAATAAACTTATGCATTGCATATAAAATTTGAAAAGCTGTTTGAGAGTATCTAGAAAGGCTGACAACACATGTATTCCATGACCCAGCAATTTTATTTCTGGGTCTGTCACACAAGATAGTTTATGTACACCAGGATATATGAACAAGAAGATTCATGTCAGCATCATTCATAAAAGTAAAAAACTAGAAAGAAAACCATTGTTCATCAACAACAAATGGATCAATAAGTGATGGTATCTTCTCACAATAGCATACTATAAAATACTGAAAATAAATAAATTACAGATACATATCACAAACTAAGTAAAACTTAAACTTTTTGTTGAGCAATAGAAGCAAGACTCCAAAGAATACCTGAATGGACTTCTCTTTATATAATATTTAAGCTATTCTTACAAATGTATACACAGCTTGTAAAACCACTTTTAAAACTTATTTGTAATGAGGCAAATATATGAAGAGTGAAAGCATGCACCATAAAAATCAAAACATTGGTGAGCTCTGGTGAGTGTCAGAGGGCACATCTAGGGCTTTTGGGTGCTGGTGATGTTTTGTTTCTTGATATGGACAGTGATTACACAGAGGATCACTTTATGTTTATTAACTTTGTATATGTGTATGTTTTGTGCATTCTTCTGTGTTATAGTTCACATATTGAAAAGAATAGATAAAGAAAAAAGGGTATAATTTAGTAAAGTTTTACTCAGAAATGAAGCAAAAAATTGGATAGTAGTCCCATTGAGCTATGGAATATATATAATATACTATTTCATTGTTCCCTCCATCACTTTTTAAAAACAGGATATGTTGAGCAATATTTGTGTCCTACTTGAAAAGGCCCTGAAGTTTAAGGCAAAAGTGATGGGAGAGAAAGGAAGGGAATAATTGTTGGAATCAAGCTCCTCAGCAGAAAAAGTGGATGGGTTCAAGAATAATGGGTGGATCTTTGGGTCGAGTGGGGAACCCCCTGTTACTGGCTCAAAAAGAGAGGTTTTGTGGAACAATGGGGTTTCATATATCTATTTGGTAATGATAGAACATTTTTCAGTGGAATGAGTTAGGTTCTCTTATAAGATGACTCTAAAGGAGGCATGATTAGCCTATGTTATCCTTGTCTCGAAGCAAATGGCGCTGCCCCAGAATAACACTCACCATGGTTCTGTCCTGCCAGGCGGTTCATCAGGTAGGATTTTCCTGTCCGATACACACCTGCAATGGCCACCACCACCACAGGCTGAGACATCTTGTCAAGAATCTCCAGTGCTGTTGGATTTACTGTCAGCTGATTATTCTGATTTTCCACCAGACAGATGGGGTCCATCATGGTGTATCCAGAGGCCATGGTGAGCTGTAACCCAGAGGAGCAAGTCAGTACAACACAAGATCCTGAAGTCATATCTCATGGTTACACAAGTCACATGCATGTCGGCCTTCTGTGTGTAGAACTTAAAACTCAGTTTCTTACCTTTTGTATGCTTCTAAAACATAAGTATTTAGCCTAATGTGTCAAGGCCTGGCACAGACTCTTTATTTACATTATCATATTGTTCTCCTCGAAGCTATCCATTGTCTACACCATCAAGAAAGTGCAGACAAGGAACCCAGAAGGCTGATGGACCTTGAGCTTTGGCAAAGGTTAAAGCTATTCACTGATTGTTGTGTGGAGACAATAGTGGCTCAAGCAATTTCCTGACCTAATAGTGTCAAAGTAAATCTTTACTAATATTTACTGACTTTTAAGATAGTCTGTCTGCTACCAGATTGCCTGCCTGACTAAGGGCAAGATGTGCAGCTAAAATGGAATAAAAAGCTAACAAGGCCTGGGCACCAGTGAAGCCTTTCCACTAGAGAAAGACTCTCCGTCTGGCCCCCTGTGATGTCCAAATTTATATTTCTTGTCTAGTCTCTAAATTTGTGCGTGGCCCTTCTCCAGGTCCTGAACCCTAGTTGTGCAGGTCTCGGCTCTCACATTGATCTTTAATTAAACCCTAATACAACCTTGTCCATGTGATGCATAAAAGGAATAGAATGAGTGAAACAAAACGCTGATGATGGAGCCTTGAGAACATTAACATATTGGGGGTAAGTACAGGCAGAATGGAATATGCAGGAGACAGGAGTGATCAGAGAAGATAACTGGAGTTCTCAAATCATTTGGTTTCTCATTAACTGCATATATTTTCTGAGCACCTACCATGTGTTTTAAGTGTTCAGTATCAAGTAGTGAACAAAATGGACACCAATTCCTGCCTCATGGAGCTCTATTCTAGTGGGAGGAGATAGACAATACAGAAAGTAAGTAAGCAACATTCATGTATGTAAGATGATGGAAAGTGCTCAGGAGAAAACAAGCAGGAACTGAGATAGGGAGCATGGGGTCTTAATTTAAAAAGAGGATGATCAAGAAAGGCCTCTCAGAAAAAGAGAAATAAAAGTGAACTGTGACCTTGAGGAGGACAAATGTAAAGAATTCTGGGAGCTGTAGCAGTTGGATGAGGGGAGACTTTCAGAGGAAAAAGAAGACAAAGAATTAGGGTTTCTCTCAAAAATACCATGGGACAGATATTATTTATTTATTTATTTATTTATTTATTAAATATATTTTATTGATTTTTTGCAGAGAGGAAGGGAGAGGGATAGAGAGTTAGAAACATCAATGAGAGAGAAACATCGATCAGCTGCCTCCTGCACACCCCTTATTGGGGATGTGCCTGCAACTAAGGTACATGCCCTTGACTGGAATCGACAGGCCACAGGCCAATGCTCTATCCACTGAGCCAAACCGGATAGGGCCATGGGACAGATCTTTATAGGAGCCAAGTACAGTTGTGAATGCATAAATTCATTTATTTTAACTAGTATAAAAAGACATTTTTTTTATTTCTAGGCTGGCAGGGAAGAGAGTCTGTAGCCAGGGTGTTTTAGGGTGTGCCCAGAGTTACCAGAGTCCCATAGCTGGGAGAGGTCCTGTTTTATTGTTTCCATCACAGTGGGTGTTTCATGCAATTAAAGGTCAGAAAGCAGTCAAAGTGCTTTGACTGTCTCTTCACTTTTTCAAAAATAATCCTAAACAACATTCATGTGTTACATGCTGTGTGTATGGGAAAGAATAATTTTTCTGTCTCAGTTTGTTCTTCCATAAAATGGTTACACTAAAAATAACAATCTCTTGGTCATTAAGATCATTAGGAAGATGAAATATATGATGACATTTATAATGCTCTTAAATTCATGTGTTGCATACTGAATCCTATGTTCATATTGATTAAAAATTGAGTATCTAAGAGGGCAGGGAGGTTAAGTTCTAAATGAAGGTGAAAATTTGGCTTTGTACTGAACAGTGACATCTCTTGATCCAGTTGTGAGCATGTGGAGGACACATCCCATGAGGAGGACTCAGGTAGGACAGAAGCAGCAGTAACAGCTGGGGAGAGGAATGAGTCCTGAGGGAGGAACCCAGAGCAGCCCTGGGATATCTGAGCACAGATTCTGTAATGGCTACCAGGGTTCAAACACCGGGGTTCACATCACTTGCTGTTAGTGAGACCTTGAAAAAGGATCTTACCTTGTGAGCCTCCATTTTCTTATCAGTGTGATAGATAAAGCAAGAATTCCTGCCTGACTCATCACTGTACAGAGTGGTAACACACAGGGTCTCAAAAATTAACAGACTTTTCCAGGATTAATGTAGTGTTTAACAATGAGCAAGTTAGGCAATGTGTTCAAATGTGTTAATGTGTTCAGTAAGCTGCAAATTGCCAAGAAATAAGGTGTTTAAAATATTTTTCTCAGGAAATAACAAAAATGTTTAAAAACACATTCTCCATTTCATTTCTCTGGTTGTTTGTGAGTGTGAGTGTGTGTGTGTGTGTGTGTGTGTGTGTGTGTGTATGTGTGTTGTTTTCTTTTTTAAAAGTTATTGGGAGCAGAGGTAGGGAGTAAACATTAGTCTTCTACTGCTGTGTTTTAAGCAGGAGGAATTGCAGAGTTTTTTTCTTGGACTGAATATTTAAAATTTTCGTAGGAATAAATGACAACAATTTTTAAAAAAATGCAAGTAAACTGAAATACCAAATCCAAAATCTGTTAAGTTCAAATAAACAAGTAAAATGAAATAATTCTCCCGTGTGGAGTTAGTTAGTTTCTAAAGTTCCTCCTCAGGAGAGTCAGTCATCGGAATTGATGGTGAAAACTACCCCAAGCCTTGACTTCTCAGCAAGTATGAGAGGATATTCTGAGATGATTCTTGTATGGACCACACACAAGAAACAGTGCCTGGTAAACAAACACTATTAGATCTTATAGTAATTTCTAACAGGTTGTGATGAATTGAATTATTCTATATCACACAGCTTTGTACTGTCTTTGGAATATTAAGTATTGTTAAGTACAAAAATAATCAGAGTCAATCTTTCAGGATTTAAATTGTCTGTAAATTAAATACCACCTTTTCTCGCAGTTTCTCCAGTGCCTGGAGGAGGGAGTGGAGAGAAGGTGGTCGTCCTGGTGCTGCAGACAGGGGACAGGTTCTCAGCTGTCCTAGCTCTTCCCTCCCTCACTCCTCCTTGTCTGGCTACTCCAGATACTGACTGTTCTCTTTAAAAGTTGAAATTCATGCCAGATATTACAGCTAAGCAGTTAAGGGTCGGATTGATTAGAACCAAATGAAACTTGAAAGGACACCTGTTCTTCTGCTGTTAGAGAAGTAGATGAGGTGGGAAGTTCGTGCCAAGCCAAGGAGTTCAGAGGCAGAGTTTCCGGAAAGCAAGAACAAAACTGCTTGAGAGCACAGAGAGGTCAGATAAACAAAATATTGGCTTTAGCAATGCACCACAGTAGGTTCTTTAAAGAGAAAATGTTTAGTAAAGTGGTGGGGCCAAATTCTACTTAAGGGGTAAAAAAGCCATTGGCACTAAGAAATTGGATCTAGTGAACCTCGTCTATGTTTTAGTGTATTTTATTTTTAAGAGTTTATTTTCCATTATAGATGACATTCAATATCATATGAGTTTCAGCATACTACATAGTGGTTAGCCATTACTTAAGTTAGGAAGTGATACCCCGATAGGTCTCATACCCACCTGGCGGCCTGCATAATTATCATAATATTATTATTATTATTTTAAGAACAACTTTTTAAAAATATATATATTTTATTGATTTTCCACAGAGATGAAGGGAGAGGGATAGAGAGTTAGAAACATCGATGAGAGAGAATCATCGATCAGCTGCCTCCTGCACACCCCTACTGGGTATATGCCATGCCCTTGACCGGAATCGAACCTAGGACCCTTGAGTCGGCAGGCCAACGCTCTATCCACTGAGCCAAACCGGTTAGGCCTATCATAATATTATTGAGTACATTCCACAGGCTGTACTTTAATCCCTGTGACAGTTTTATAATAGCCAATTTGTATCCTTAATCCCTTCCCCATTTTTATCCAGCCCCTATCCTTCCTCCACCTGGCAACCAGAACCTGGGTTACTTCTAAACCAAGTAATCTCTGAAACAAAGCTTATAAGTGTGACTAAAATGTATGGTGTTTTCGAAATAAAGTTCTTACCTGTATTTTCTGCTCAGTTTAGGTTGGAGTGGTTTCTGTCACTTCTCTGTCTTTCACTGGATGGTTGGGCTTTTATTCACTTATCCGATCTCATGTGACTTTCCGGAATTCCTAAAGACCCATTAATTAGAAGTGAAGGGTTTAGAGTAATGTGAAACTGAAAGCACTGAGTACAAAGCAATGCTCAAAAAAAGGGGGGGGGGATTTCTGAAAGCTAGGTAAACGAGAGGGTTCTTGGATTTCACTGATTTTCTTAACTAGTTCACTTTGAGAAAACCTCCATTCTTGGTTCCTGGTGGGTGTGGTCAACAAGATGTGGCCCCCTCTTCCCTCTTCAAGCAGGGTAAGGTCTGTCACTGGGAGAGGCAGGCCACCAGTATTTCTCATCACCTTCAACACTGAGTTACAGACACTGGAGGCTGGGGCTCCCAACATGCACCCAGCCCCACTCATAGTGTGAAGGCTCTAGCTGATGCATAGCAGGCTGAGATTGCCTGGCCTGATCACCCTCCCTCTGGCTGACTTGTAGGAAGGCGTTTCCAAGCTGGGAGAGGCAAGTGGAGAAGACCAGAGGCTACCACCCCTGCCCAGGAGAGGAGCAGTGGCTCAGAGATATTTGTCCAGCGAGAGAGGCAGTGCATCTCTGAAGTTCTTCTCCAAATAACTGATTTTATTTGAAATAGTGTGGGGACTTGGAGAAACTATATTGCTAGCAAATTGTCTTTAGAAAAAACACAACAGGAGATTTTCAGGAAGAAAGCAAGTGACCCCAGATGGTAATA